TGAATAACTCCTCTGACATACCAACCGAAGCGGCTGTGGTGCTAGTTTTGGTGGTGGCGGCAGGCGGGTGAGTGGTATCTTGAGGGGTGCCTGAAGCTAAGCTGGAGGAGGATGGTGCGTCAAGGTTCTGAGCGGAGGCTGTAGAAGATTGGGTGTCCTGTGTTAGCCAGTCAACTATGTCCTCAGAACTTTTCGAGTTCAGGGTACGTGGCCTCTGAAAACGGGGCATTATTCTAGGGCCAAAGGGAATCACAGCACCATGACCACGATAGCCCCTGCGGGGTGGCCTGCCTCTGCCTGTCATTTTTGGGGGGATTAGTGGTACTATGCGTGCAAGCTACTGTGAGACCAGATATGAGTGGCAATGTGCACTGGCACAGTTGTGCAGGGCACAGGCTGTAGGCCTGACACAGCCTCTTGAAGGACACTGACTGCTATTCAATCTATAACAGTGAAAAAAGTTTTTTGTTTTTAAATGCAAGCTTTTGTGACACCAGATATGAGTGAGTGGTGGCACTGGGCACCGTATCCACTGTGAGCTTAACACACCCACTTTAAGGACACTGACTGCTATTCAATCTATAACAGTGAAAAAAGGTTTTGTTTTTAAATGCAAGCTATTATGACACCAGATATGAGTGAGTGGTACAACTGACTGGGCAAATGGGCACCGTATCCACTGTGAGCCTGACACAGAAGCTGGCAGCAGTGGCAGACAACTGACTGCTATTCAATCTATAACAGTGAAAAAAGTTTTTTGTTTTTAAATCCAAGCTATTATGACACCAGTGAGTGGTGGCACTGGGCTGCGTATCCACTGTTAGCGTAACACACCCGCTTTAAGGACACTGACTGCTATTCAATCTATAACAGTGAAAAAAGTTTTTGCTTTTTAAATGCAAGCTATTGTGACACCAGATATAAGTGGTGGCACTGGGCACCGTATCCACTGTTAGCGTAACACACCCGCTTTAAGGACACTGACTGCTATTCAATCTATAACAGTGAAAAAAGTTTTTTGTTTTTAAATGCAAGCTATTGTGACACCAGATATGAGTGTGTGGTGGCACTGGGCACCGTATCCACTGTGAGCTTAACACACCCGCTTTAAGGACATTGACTGCTATTCAATCTATAACAGTGAAAAAAGTTTTTTGTTTTTAAATGCAAGCTATTGTTGCACCAGATATGAGTG